AGATAATAGGAAATGCTCAGGAATACGTTCATTCAAAGCTTTTAGACTACAAAGTGAAAGTGTCGGGTGGAAAGTTTCAAACAGCGTTTACTTTTGCCGCTCTGCGGCGATGTTGTAACACATCTCTTGTTGCCATGCGGTTGTCAAGCGCTGAAGGTCAAGAAGCCTTCATATGCTCAAAAATATCATATAACACGTGTTATATGATATCTCTAGCTGTGCTTACGTGACCTGCGTCGACTCTTGCCGCCATGATACAGAACCGCGGCGAAACGCGTTTTTCGAGTTGTTTTTTTCGTTGAGGGAATATAGGCTTGATACATATTTGTATAGTTTTATTTTCAAAGCTAACGTTCAGTTAACGTGTAGTGAGTTATTTACGTATGTTTTTACAGTGGTTGTCACAAAAATGTGCGCGGGATTGCATCTTAAGCTTATTAATTTTATTATTATGTTTTCCAGACGGACTCGTTGTTGCCAGACTTGGAGATAGCAGGTATTGAGATCTGTGTGTACTGAGATAAGTCTGTAGTAACCATGCGAATGTGAAATATCAAAACATATAAGCGGGTCCGTCATATATTTTGGTACTTGGAATGTGGTCTAGTTCTTTATTAATGGTACACAACTCTGCACGACGTAGGAATCCACCACACCGATAACTTGTTTACCATAATTTTATAGATTGGGAGGGAAACGATACAAACTACATAGACGCTGGGACTCCGACAGTGGCTTTTCGTGAACGGTCGCCTCTACTGCGAGAAGCCGAACTCTTGCCAAGAGCAGTAGCTGTAGCGACCACACAATCACAACCTAGAACTTTGGAGCAGCCCCAAGTTTACGTGTAATAAGCTATCACACTGCTGTTAACCTTAATTTTGGATTCGCAATGACAATTTCAATATAAGCTGAGACATGATTTCCCATGATGCAAATTAATGAATGGCAGTAAACCTTGTGTATAGTAGTAGCCACCTACTGTTTCAAAATAATTAACATGTGCCCTTGGCGTTTGTTTTGAACATGCTCAAAACAAACGCCGTGACTCGGCGATCATTGGCGACCATGGCGACCACACCACGATGTCTGGCGTTTCCACCACGCTTATACCACGCTTATATAGCGACCTTGGCGCGCTCTGGGCCCATTTTCCGTCGCCGTAGCAGCGCAGTAAG